GCGGGTTCGACAGGCAGACAAGGACTGAACAACTGACAGATTAACTCAAATCTTTGTACTCTTTTAATCCATATGCTCTTTCTCAATACACTTTTCCAAACCTACCATGCACATGGTCTTCCAAATATGGAAGGTCCCATATATGGCTATGTCACGCATCACGCAACAACACACTATTGTTCTGTTGTTTTCCCACTGTTCAGCACCTTTCTTTACCATTTAATTTGATCAGCTTGTAGTTTATGCTTCTACAATAGTTCCTAAAGTTGTTCTCGACCTGCTGGAGATGACAAAAAAAGAATGCTGCAAAATTATCATGCCATATTGTTGGGAAATCTGCTTATTTATAGAATGACTAGTACATTCCACTTGCACTCTGCACACTGTACTATTGCCACTTGATGTTTTTCTATTAAGTTTTTGACACCTTCTTTGACAACTTTTGTACGGTTTCCGTTTCCAATTGGCCAGTTAAATGCAATATGTTGAAGGGGGACTTGTTCTCGAAGTGAATTCTACTTGCAAATACTTGGAACTTGTCAACTCTGCCTCTGACAGATCAATTTTCCATAAAAAGGCAACAAGAATATCCTTGACTAACAGTTTACAAAGCACAACTGACTCTCTTTCGTGTACATATAATTACATTGTATCACTTCATTTCCCTATAGTCCGAGGAAGATCTTGCATATTATGGAGCTGACTGGGATGGGCCAGCACCTTCTGCCTTTTGGAGTGGCCCATTAGGAGATGAAGAGCTTTCTGTTGAAGTGCCTCAACTTCCAACACGGCTTCAACCAAATGAGCGTATACAGCTCTCTTGAATAGTCAACCTGTTACACCAGTCTGGTGATAGTGGAGTCGATTTATACCTTCAGGCTCTGCAGTTCATTTCAAGTTGTACACAGGAAGGATAGTCTTACCCATATGCCTACAGAGATTTTTTTACATTGTGACAAAACCCTGTCAACCTTTCTCAACTCACATTCTATTTTCTTGTAACTAGACAAAGTTTTATTATGGCCCTGTATGGGGAATTGAAATGTAAATGCAACTTCAATGGGCGTTTCAAGTGACGGTCAAATGAACAACTTTTCAGCAATTGTGCCTGGGAAATGGAATATAAGTAATTTTCAAAATTGAGACTTCACT